AAACCAAGACTCCCACTTGTACTGCTATGATCCCCAAAGTTACATGTCTCCTCAGACTCTCCCCCAAATGTAACATGATATTCCACAATATCATTAATTTCACTTGTCTCAAAATTATTAATGCCATCTCAGTCCATGCTCTTTTCTTTATCAGCTGGTAATACCACCATGTACCCAGGTGTACAAGTTTGAATGTTGATGTTTTCCATGTACCCAGGTGTACAAGTTTGAATGTTGATGTTTCCTTCTTATCCTTTGTTTAGTTGTCACAAAGGGATGATGACATGGTTAACAGAAAGATGCCAACACACACAGTTAAAGAAAATGAAGTTTCTTTACCAGCAATGGATATGGAAACTTGTGGCTACACAAAGCAAGAGACAATGCAATGTACTGTCAAATAGAAATGTGGCCTTCCTTTAAATATTCTACATAAAATTACCTTGTTTTCAATTCTGTTTGTATTAAAGAAAAGGCTAAGCTGCTGAAATACAGACATCTATAATATAGTGGTTTAAAGAATAGAGCATTTTAATTCAACCAAGCATTCAAAGAAGATTTAATACCTACCCTTCTCAAACTCTTCCAAAAAATTGAAGAGGAGGGAACACTTCCTAATGCATTTTGAAAGGCCAACATTACCATGATACCAAAAGCAAACAAGAACAACACAAAGAAGAAAATTACAGGCTAATATCCCTGATGAACAGAGATATAAAATTCCTCAACAAAATATTAGTAAACTGAATACAACAATACATTAAAAGAATCATATTCCAAGATCAAATGGAATGTATTCTGAACTATCCATGTATGGATGGTTCAATATCTGCAAATCAATCAATGTGATATACCATGTTAACAAAATGAAGGATAAAAAGCATACAATAATTTCAATAGATGCAGACAAAGCATTTGACAGTATTCATTATCCATTTAATATGATAAATAAAAACTCTCAATAAAATCACTATAGAAGGAAAGTACCTCAAAACAATAAAGGTTATATAGGACAAACGATTTATTGTTCCACACAGCTAACATAATGATGAAAAACTGAAATATTTTCCTCTAAGATCAGGATGCCCACTCTTCCTATTATATTTTTATTCAGCATAGTATTGGAAGTCCTAACCAGAGTAATTAGATAAGAGAAAAAAATAAAAGACACCCAGATTGGCAAATAAGAAGTAAAACAGTCAATTCTTGTGGATAGGATGATTTTATATATACAAAACCCTAAAGACTCCACCAGAAAAAAAGTATTAGAAATAATAAAAAAAATACAATAAAGTTGCAGGGTATAAAACAATATATAAGAAACTCTTGTTTCTATACAGTGATGACAAAAAGAAATTAAGAAAGCAATTCCATTTACAACCACAACAAAAAGAATAAAGTCCCCATGAATAAATTTAATCAAGGAGTGAAAGATCTGTTCAGTGAAAACTGTAGGACATTGTTGAAAGAAAGTGAAGATGACACAAAGAAATAAAGACATTTCATTCATGATCTTTATTGAACTAGGGTAGATTCTAATCTTTGGATAAGATTTAGGGTTGCCCCATAAGTCTTCATCTTTCTCCTGGACCTTCGATTTTGCAACTACTCAGCACTTGTTATTCTTTTAGAAGAGTCTAAGAATACAAAAGGATGAGTAGATCAGAGGAGCACAGAGGCCTGATGTATAACTGCCACATTGGCACTTCTACTTATTCCATTGTCCAAGCAAGTACATGGCCAACATCAATGGGATGGAGAATTTACTCCAGCCACTAGCAGGGTATAATGCAGAAACTTGGCAAAGAGCACAGGGGCATAGTTCTAACACAGGAAGAAAGCAGAGCATTGAGAACAAAAACTCTATCTACTTCAGTGGCCTTGTAAGAAATATTTCTGAACAATAATTGTTATCTGGGAGAAGGAGTATAAAGAGGTAAGTAGACATAAACTCTTTCTAAAACAAAATGAAAAAGGAAAGAAGGAGAAATGGATGAGAGAGGAAGGAGGTGTTCTGATTGAAAGTTGAAAAAGATTAGCAGCCAACAGGCTCAGTATTACTTGGAAATAAACATGGGTCTAATTTAAGGCAGTGGAGAGGAAAGAGAACTAAGAAAAACTGAAGACCTGGTGTATTCAAAACACTCTGGTAGGCAATGTCTATACCCTATACCATATAATTCTCACCGCAACACTTGGGGTAGGCACTACTGTCAGAATCCAAAGTCCCTTTTAGAAGGAGAGAATTGAACTGAGAAACATTTTAGAAATCGAATTTGTAAAACTTGTTGGCCTAATTAGATAAGGTGGTAAGTAAAACAGAATGAGAAAAGATGCCTCCTAAGCATCGACCTATCAGTGGTGTGATGCTTTTCTGTTAACTTATATGGGAAACAGAGGGAGGCCAGTCTGTGAGCTGAGGGAGATAAATTTGTTTTTACTTGTGTTGGTGATAGCTATAAGACATCTATGTGAAATAGCCTACAAACAAATGATTGCAAATTTGTATCTTTGAGCACAAAAAGGGAAGCCAGTCCTGGAGAAACATCCCAGAAATAAAGGCAAAAGCATTTCAAGCATGGGAAATGAGATTAGCAAAGATATGAATGTGTCTTGTACAGTTCATGTTCATGGGACAATGGCAAGTTAACATACTGTTTAGACATGCACACGTGTCTAATCATATGTATTAAGCTGCACATAGCAGGATAGTGTGAGATTAGGTTGAAAACATAAGTTTGTACCTGAGCACAGCTGTCCTTAGAATATTGGAATAAGACATTTGGGCTTTTATCAAGGAAGAAACACTATAGGTTTTTGTGCAGAGGTTGACTTAAGAGCCTGGGTTTTTGAAAGAGTGATGCAGCAGCAGGTTACAAGATGGAGCAAAGGTGGGGGGCCAAGTGGAAAGCTATTGCATTAGTTTTTGTAAATGCTCATGAGAACTTAAACAGGGTAGTGGTCGGTTTCATGAATGGCTGACAACAATACCTCCCTGCCAGGCTGTTAATTTCACCTCCACTGAGTTTTTCTTCCTTCTTTTCCTTTCTCTGGTTATTTTCTCATGTCAATTGGGACAGCCAGGGGTTTCTGGGGCTGGGGTGTTGGTTCAAGTTAGCAGAGTTGGTTCAACCACCTCTTGGTCCTGGAGAACACACTTAGCCCAATCTTTTTGTATCTCTTTCCAGAAGATGAAGGTATTTCATACTTTTGAGCCTCTGCTTTGGGTCCTACACATGCATAATCCTGAGCGTTATTTACATTGGTAGCTACTTTGGAATACACACCGAGCTAAGTGTTACCCAAGCATACATTTAATGAGTAGCTAAAAAGGATTAGTCCATGTAAAAGTGATATATAAAAGCCAGATGCAATTCAGAATCTCATGCAAATAATAAATTACACTGTGACTTCAAAATAGGGGACATTTAAACCTCAAAATTGAAAATAAAGTGGGGAGGGAAACAATGGGAAACAGGAAAGGAGAAAAGGTAACTTTAAGATGGAGTAAGGAGCATCTTAAAAATGAGAACACTGCATAGTGACAGAAAGCCTAACATGTTTAAGATTAAAATCCAAAACCCTGATGCCCAGGCTAATCTTTGCTCACAAATCAGTCATATAGATTTCCATTAATATTTATCTCCTAGAGTCTGAAGGAATAGGGAAATCTATTTTGTATGTTGCCCTGTTTTGCTGTTTCCATCACAAATTCACTGAAGGATCGCAACAGGTTGATGCAGTACCACCTGTTCTTAGTAGTGGAAATATCAGATATATTCAGTGTGGCTTGTGAAGCAACACACATCTCGGAAGTGAGTTCCTTCAACAACCACAAACTCAACTAAAATTCCAGATGAAAGCTAAAGGACTGGAATAATCCATACAGAATTTTACACCCAGAAGTGTCTCTTGTGGAAATTATTTTCACACTCTAATTGAAAGTCAGAAATGTTATGCTGTTGTCACACTTCTTTGTTCTCCTAAAGTAAAAAAATAATAATAATAATTAATTTAATTAAATCCGTATATAGCTGATGAAAAATAGAAACCTATCTGCCAGCAAGTTTTCTGTTCATGTTTGACATATTGTGAAATCAACATAGAACACGTGGTCTTTAAACACTGAAAAACCTTTTCTTCAGTACATTTGCAATGCCTATCTCACATGTCTATATATATATATATATATATATATATATATATATATATATAGTATTGATATACTATATATATAGTATTGATATACTTTATATATATAGTGTGTGTGTATGTATATATATGTATATATATACACACTATATATATATAGTATTGATTTTTTACAGAGAGAAAGAGAGAGGGTTAGAGAGTTAGAAACATTGATGATGAGAGATCATCATCGATCAGCTGCCTCTTGCACACCCCCTACTGGGGATGTGCCTGCAACCAAGGTACATGCCCTTGACCGGAATCGAAACTGGGACCTTTCAGTCTGCAGGCTGACGCTCTATCCACTGAGCCAAACAGGTTTCGGCTACCACACATGTCTTGCATACAGATAAATTCCTTTGGATGTTTAGGGCAAGTCATACAGTATTTTCACATGCTTTGATGTTGTGCATATGAGAAGTATCATCTACACTTTGGGAATGCGATCCCTTTTGCCTTCAGCATTGCATTTAATGTTGCATGACTGACATCACTTGAAAGTCCATCTGACAGAATGCCAATAATGTCTGTCACAGAAGTTCGACATAGTATTTAGTTCATTCAAATATGGAGGTGATGTAGCAGCTAAATTGGGGAAAGCTGGGGGTATGTTTTTTAAAATGAATTCAGCATGAAGATTATGAGTGAATTAAAATTGTGCATAAAATGTTTCCGTTTTCTTCATTCCCTTACCCAGAAAAATCGCTTGCTTCCTATCAGATAAATTTCCAAGTGGCAAGAGGCATCCTATTTGGGGGACACAAAGTATACAGATTAAATTAATCTTAATTCATGTTTCTTAATTGCAGATGAGACCCATTGGCCATGACGGCTATCATCCCACCTCTGTCGCCGAGTGGCTGGATTCCATCGAGCTAGGTGACTACACCAAAGCCTTTCTAATCAATGGCTACACATCGATGGACCTGTTGAAAAAAATCTGGGATGTTGAGCTTATTAATGTAAGTTGGTCTCTTAAAGATGCCTTAGTCATTCAACCCTTGATAAATGAAGTTCTTATTGTACCTGAGTAATTTTTTTCTTTCTTTATAAATGTTCGGACATCCAAGGATTTACAGACATGCCTTCCAGTTTTAAATATACATCTCTCTTGGCTCCAGTCAAGCTCCACAGTCACAGTCTTTTGCAGTTTTGAGGTGGGAACTAAAAGGACTCTCAGGGTGTTTTGCATTATCTAAAAAAACTTTCCAAGCACTTTTGGATTTTCCAATTTAGGAAATTTTGTCAGTTTAGGGTATGGATGTGATAACAAATTGGCTCCTATTTTGATCTTTGCTCAAATTTATTGCTAAAGAGAAAAGTTGTAATTTTTAGTTGTATATTATGATTCTTTGACTCTACTCCTTAATTGCATTATAAGAGACTGCTTTTGTTCTTACTAAGTAGGCTGCTGTAATATCAAAATTTTATTTTCCACAGCTTATATCTAATTCTGTATTCAGACACATGGCATAGGGTTTCTATAAAAATTGGCCAGCATATGTTGCCATGTATTTGAGTCCAAAGAGATTGACTGAATGTGCACAGATATTTTTGTTACTGACACTTCTCTCATTTTTTTACTACAATTTCACTTCTAATAGCATAAATGGATGACAGAGATTTTTTTAAAAAGATATTGTATAATGATCATGTCTTTGCATTACATTTAGAATCACAAACATTTCTTCTTTAAAGTGAATGTGAAATCATTTACTCTTTTAAAGGATTTATTAGATTTAAGTTCTATAGTCTAATAACTAAAAACGTATTCAGAAGGTGAGAAGTCAAGCAGGTGAATTTCTGCTTGTTCAAAAGTGCTCTGTTCTACTCTATATGCCACTTTGTCTCCAAAAGCCTGGTCTCTACATAATACACGTCACTAACTATGTTAAGTGATGGCCATTAGTAGTGACTGGTTGTTTTTTGCTTTTAAATGTCCTAAAAATAATACCTTTTCTGGAACATCTCATAAAAACTGTTCTTTAATCTAAAACACCTACATACACACACACACACACACACACACACACACACACAATAAAAAGCAGTTTCAATGGATAAATTCTTTCCTCTTTCTAATTTGCCATCTTTTCTTAGCTTTCTGTGCGCATCCCTCACAAAAGCGATCATTATGTCAGAAGAAACTTACTGACTAAAAGCCTCTGGTTAATTTTGCTCTTAGTCTGTATGGCAGCTAACTAGCTGAAACTGTGCTGCCTTTTGGCTGCATCAAGCAGGTTTCAGTTCTCCACTGAGAACTCAATACTCATCTTAACTGCTACTCTTAGCCACTTATTAAAGGGATACCTTCCTTAGATCAAACAAGCATCCTACCAAATAAGTTGCATTCTAGCCAACAATATAATTGAAAAATATCTCTACAGAGCATCTTCTGAATAATGTTGCTCCACACTGAAGAACAGACATGATAGATAGCACAGGAGTCACTCGCCTAACAGGCTTTAGTAGCAATCCCTCATTTAAAAAAAATTAATTCCAATAGGACTTGACTATAAAATGTCAAGAATGAAGCAAGTATCATTGAAGCAAGTCTATACTCTCTCAAAATCCAAATGCTGAGAATAGTGTTTTGGACCCACACCTTCCTCCATGCTGGAGATACCAGTGGACCAGAGGCCCACGGTCAGTCCCTGTGGCTAGGCATTATGGACAGCTACAATGACTGCAGGGTCATTGGTACCAGAGGTTTACCACCAGGGTCAGAGATTGATCCACCACCATCCACAGGGCCAGCCAGCCCTGAGTTGGGACTGTCTCTTTAAGGGTTTTCTCTTTAGCTGCATTTCCTGTAACACAATCTGACTTTGATCTGGAGAGCAGAAGTGCCCATCACAAGTGTTGTATCAGAATCAGAAAACACTGTGGCTGAGACCTTGAGACTGAATCTCTCCAGCCTGGAGTATAGCATCTGTATCTAACACCAATCTTTCTCCTTGTTTCATTTAAATTAATTTATTGGCCTTAAAATAAATTGTTAAAACTTAAATTTCCTTGTGACATCTTTACAGGCAAGTTTGCACTCTTGATGAGGAGGCTTTGCAAGTCATTTATCTCAAGAGATATCCTGCTTATGGACACATGCTGTTTTGTACTAGGAAGTCAGAGAACAAAACGTTTGTGTCCATGAGAGCTGCTGTAAGAGTCGTACTTTGGGTGGCTTGGGGTTGTTGGCTTACAAAGCTTTTGACTGGTCTCAGAGTCAAGACTTTTATTTATCCCAACTAATGAGGGAAGGCATCCACATATAAGAAAGCATTTTGTATAATAGATGGGCCTTGTAATTCTATAGTAAGCACCCATCATTTGTTGTGTTTTAGGTTGAAGAGAAATTACAGCTACCTTGAATTAGAGCAAAGCTAATTTGGGAAATTCACACCTTGAAGTTGGTGTTGACTAGCTAGTTTGAAGGAAACCAAGTGACTCCAATAACTGTTATTCTGTGTAAACTGAAGAGAGAAGGGCGAGTGTAGACTGGCTTTGATACCGAGGTCTGCTGGTGGAGGGAAAGAGGATGAAGGATGAGGAGGATGACTGCTGATATGATTGCAAGTAACTGCAGCATCACTACACAATATTGATTAAGCTTCCAGTTTCACCTGGTGTTACACTTGATAGTGAATAATACTGTCTCAGTGGCATAATAAGCTACCTCAAAGTATTTTCAGGATGAAGTGAAAATTATACAAAGTTGTGACTTAACAAGCACAGTTATGTTTGAAATTGTAATCTTTCAAAAAGTGTCCAAAGATCTTTTTTTCTTGGTGGAGTACATTATTGCCTTTGGAAAAACAAGGTTATTTGAGTAACCTATAATAATAAGGGACACAAAGCTATCCAAGTATAAGGGTTAGTGAGAGTATTAGAAATCTCATGTCTTAAAACCACCATTGTCAGCAGGGGGAATAAAGCACAGGGAAACTTTAAAGACATCAGGTATTGTCAATTTTACAGGCCCCTATGCATCTAAACCTAGAGGATGTCCTTTATGCCAATAACTATTTCCTTTGTTCCCTAACCCATGCTTTATATTCAGAAACTGATGTTTTTATCAATATCTCTGTTTTGCCCCTGTGTCTGCCACTGTCATTAATAACATCATTAGCATGGCTTTTGCATGATATTTTATTGTGAAACTATTGATATGTTGGGGGAGATTGTCAGGCAAATTGTTCCCTTTGCAGATGCTAGCTGGTGAAACTGTAGCTTGAATTATAGTCCTCAGCAAAGGCTTGCTAAGAGAATGAAAGGCAAGTTAACAGTGCGTAAGTACGTCAATATTTTTAAATCTGGTTTTTCTGGCACGTTTGCACAGCAGTTTCTACTGTTGACAACCTCAACAGCCCTGCCTGGGGAAATTTTAGATAAAAGAATTACATATTACCTGTATGAAATATGTATGGATAATTATTAAGTCCCCATGAAATTATCCATTTTCTACATTTAAAACATATTGCAATTATGAAAAACAATGCTAATTTACTTTACCTCTGTGTACCTACTAAGGGAATTTTGCTAAGACCAAGTACATTGGAACAGTGTCCAATTTGCTAATTTGTTCATCTCAGTGTACATATCATTAACTTCTCCCCAGTGATTTACCAGTGGATTTACCAAGGGAACAATTCTAGATTAGGCTTATGATATCCTATGGCATCGATCATAATAAATGTACACATTGAACAAACAAAATAAAATGCAGGCCTCACTGTGAGCTTAAATCCCTGCTCATAAGAACAAAAATAGCTTTGAAAATCTTACTGGGGTGATTGGCTATGTTTTAAATACCTTTGGGTAGAAACAAATAAAATAATTCCAGCAGTGATATCCATGCGTCCCATGAAAATCATTTGGACTTATTTTGCAACAGTAAATTGATTAGAAGATCATTTGCTCCCTGCCTAATAGCTGCTGAAACCATATCGGCATCACTCTCCTGTTTAGGGCTGCCAGGGTTTTTTTCTCTTTTGCAATATTGTTGATTTAATTTCTACCTTTCCAGGGGAAATATTGTGATAAGATAATCACTTGAAGATGCACTAAGAAATTTTCAAAGGAAACATTCTAATTTTAATTTTGTGTTAAATCTGTAATTGTGTAACTTCATTTGCTTAAATGCTGTAGAAATATGGGCCATCAGTACCAAATTTAGACTCACTACTTGGCTTTGCTATTTTTACCTTATGATCAGCATCATAAACTCACATTCCTATCCACTCTTCCCTCATTGCTATAATAGCTATAAAATTTACTTTATATAAGTCTTTTTTGTAGTGTGTGTGTGTGTGTGTGTCCATCTATCTTTTCTGTGTGTGTGTGTGTGTGTGTGTGTGTGTGTGTACATATTGGATAAAAACAAATGGTAACTTATGCTGATAACCCAGAAGAATCATCTGCAAATCCGCAAATTGCAGGGGGAGAATGTTATAATTCCATCTCCAAACCAATTATTTTAAGTAAAAGGTTATGCCTTCACTATAGGACATTAATAAATGAGAAAAATATCCATTTCCCTCACCAGGGAAGCTACATCAGTCAATACTTCAAATGTTAAAAACTTTAATCAAAGCCAAAGGCTTTAACTAAATGACTGGATATGAGTATTCGAGTGTAAAGCAAACTTCATAAATTACGTTTGTATTTAAGCATTTCATTTATACCCACACACAGTGAAGCCAGCTCCCTGGCAGCCTTAAGGACAGCTAGACACAATGTCTGAGTCTCAGACAACTCCAGGCCTGAGTCAGGAGAAACTCCAGACCCCCACTATCTGCTCAGTGGATCTCAATTGCAAACTCTTCCACTCATTCTCTTGAAGCTTCCCAAAGTTGGCTTACGTTTTTTGTGGGGAAGGGAAATGTCCCTTTTTCTTCCTCATATAAGGTGGACAATCTTCTCCCAAGCACTCACTCTTCAGTGTTATTTTTAGCCCTTTCGCACA